CCTGTAACAACTAGGTCAGGACCTACACAGTAGCTGTAACAAGTAGGTCAGGACCTACACAGCAGCCGTAACAACTAGATCAGGACCTACACAGCAGCTGTAACAACTAGGTCAGGACGTACACAGCAGCTGAAACAACTAGGTCAGGAAGTACACAGCAGCTGTTACAACTAGGTCAGGACGTACACAGCAGCTGTTACAACTAGTTCAGGACCTACACAGCAGCTGTAACAACTAGGTCAGGACGTACACAGCAGCTGAAACAACTAAGTCAGGAACTACACAGCAGCTGTTACAACTAGGTCAGGAAGTACACAGCAGCTGTTACAACTAGGACAGGAAGTACACAGCAGCTGTTACAACTAGGTCAGGACGTACACAGCAGCTGTTAGAACTAGTTCAGGACCTACACAGCAGCTGTAACACCTAGGTCAGGACCTACACAGCAGCTGTAACAACTAGGTCATGACCTAAACAGCAGCTGTAACAACTAGGTCAGGACCTACACAGCGCCTGTAACAACTAGGTCAGGACCTACACAGTAGCTGTAACAACTAGGTCAGGACGTACACAGCAGCGGTACAACTAGGGCAGGACGTACACAGCAGCTGTAACAATTAGGTCAGGACCTACACAGTAGCTGTAACAACTAGGTCAGGACGTACACAGCAGCTGAAACAACTAGGTCAGGAAGTACACAGCAGCTGTTACAACTAGGACAGGAAGTACACAGCAGCTGTTACAACTAGGTCAGGACGTACACAGCAGCTGTTAGAACTAGTTCAGGACCTACACAGCAGCTGTAACAACTAGGTCATGACCTAAACAGCAGCTGTAACAACTAGGTCAGGACCTACATAGCAGCTGTAACAACTAGGTCAGGATGTACACAGCAGCGGTAACAACTAGGTCAGGACCTACACAGCAGCTGTAACAGCTAGGTCAGGATGTACACAGCAGCTGTAACAACTAGGTCAGGACGTACCCAGCAGCTGTACAACTAGGGCAGGACGTACACAGCAGCTGTAACAACTAGTTCATGACCTACACAGCAGCTGTAACAACTAGGTCCGTCCCTACACAGCAGCTGTAACAACTAGGTCAGGACGTACACAGCAGCTGAAACAACTAGGTCAGGAAGTACACAGCAGCTGTGACAACTAGGTCAGGAAGTACACAGCAGCTGTTACAACTAGGACAGGAAGTACACAGCAGCTGTTACAACTAGGTCAGGACGTACACAGCAGCTGTTACAACTAGTTCAGGACCTACACAGCACCTGTAACAACTAGGTCATGACCTACACAGTAGCTGTAACAAGTAGGTCAGGACCTACACAGCAGCCGTAACAACTAGATCAGGGCCTACACAGCAGCTGTAACAACTAGGGCAGGACGTACACAGCAGCTGTAACAATTAGGTCAGGACCTACACAGTAGCTGTAACAACTAGGTCAGGACGTACACAGCAGCTGAAACAACTAGGTCAGGAAGTACACAGCAGCTGTTACAACTAGGTCAGGACCTACAAAGCAGCTGTTACAACTAGGTCAGGACCTACACAGCAGCTGTAACAACTAGGTCAGGACCTACACAGCAGCTGTAACAACTAGGTCAGGACCTACACAGCAGCTGAAACAACTAGGTCAGGACCTACACAGCAACTGTAACAACTAGGTCATGACCTACACAGTAGTGGAGGTTATAATTTAGATGTACTACCCAGCATGTATATATAGTGTCAGTTTAGTAGTCTAGGACTAAAACTTAAAACATTGATGAGGATGCTTTAACAGTCACTGGACCAGAAAATGTAGGCTAACATTGACGCCGACGTCGCTCCTTCACAACATCCAATGCAGCTGAGACAAAAACTACTATACCTTCATGGGTCTACTCTGAAGATTTGATTATAATGTATCTACATGTTATTACTAAATAATAACCAATCCCATTCACCCATGCTACGTGGAAACTCTATAAATTTGGACACTTCTTTCGACAAAAGATACAAAATTTGTAGAATTTGTGTGCTTGTGTATCATGATCAAGGCCCGTATTCATGAAATTGTTCTCGTGCTCGAAGGGATTCTGTGCTCAAACCTACTTTCTTGCTGCTGGTTTAAAATCATGTTACACGGTCAAAAAGCTAAGTTTTTACATTGAAAATGGTCTTCAGCCCTGACTCTTCCAAATTCTTCCAGATCATTGACAAAAAGTGATTTTTCATAAATTTATCACTGGAATATGAAATTAGGCTTGAGCACAAAATCTGACTTTGAGCAAGATAACAGTTTCGTGAATACTGGCCCCGATTGAGGACACAATAAAGGAAATACCTGTGACCTCATTCAATATGCAGACTCTACCAACAATACAGACTGACCTCTTGCCTTGGAATGATTGTGGTCCACACTTCATGTACCAGTTTGTCCCACCCAGCATCCAGGAGGAGAGCAGCTTCTAACACCACCACCTCCATACCCTCTGAAAAAAAAAAAAAACGTAATCAAAGATATTATCACATCTTTAAATCAATCACCCCTGAAATGTCATAATGAACTATTCCAACCTTTGCATTAGAAGGGTTCAAATGTGTGAATCAGTTAATTAGTCCCCAACTGGTTCCCGGGGGGACTAGAGGTTTGTACTCTGTCTGTCCGCCCGTCCCTCCTTCCGTTCGCCCGAGAGGTTTGTCTGGGGCATATCATCTATACTATTTCACCTGGAGTAACCAGATTTGGTATACAAAGACATCTTGGGATGGCGGAGTGCAGAGTGCAAGAATTAGGTCACTGTGACCTATGACTTGACCGTTGACTTTAACTTTTGAAAATGTTTGTCTGGGCACATCTTCTATACAATTTCACCTGGAGTAACCAGATATAGTGTACAAGGACATCTGAGGATGGTGGAGTGCAAGAAGTAAGTCACTGTGACCTCACTGTGACCTATGCTTCCTGACATAAATCATCACCGGTGAGGGACCATGGATTGCCTTGCAATACTTTGCTTTGTCAGTCATCATTCAAAGTAAATATTTATAATCAGAGGATACAATTCTTTTCATTTTATGAGATTTGTGCAGGTATAAGAATTTTCATTTCAACAAGCCTATGGCTGGTTACAATCAAAAATGTTATGTTTGATTAATATATCAAATGGAAGCAAAGTTTTCACATACATGTAATTAAGATTTGTAAAAACAAATTTCATAATCATAAATATCACCCTTTTTGACTCTTGAGCTTCCATCTTTTGTGAAGCATGTGATACCACGAAGTTATCCTGGTTTTGATGTTACAATTGAATTAATGGAAACCTTCAGCCAATCACAGCTCCACTAAGGGTTACTAAACGTATGTTTATAACGGAATGTATGCCATGGGTATTACCACACTGACAGTAGGGTAGTTATAACAAAAATTCCTTGGAAGTGTATGGTCGTGTCACCTGGGTAGTGAACTGGACTGGGTCAATCATCAGTGAACAGGTAACTCAATATTGGTAGAGTGTCCAGCTACAGTTCGGAGGGTCCCAGGTTCGAACCCTGGTCAGGCCATTGCATTTCTTTTTCTCCTGTTACACCAGTTTTAGTAAAACAGTGACAGACATCAATTTATCCAAGATCAAAGAGTTAATGTTATACATAAATGTTACTGTTGTATTATTGATCAAATCGCAGAAGCCTCATTAAATTTTACTAATTTGTTCAGCCACTGATTTTTATTGAGGGATTTAGGTAGAAAGGATACCTTGTAAGTTTCATAAAACCCCAATAATTCCTTCAAAAGATATCTGATATCCATAGCAGTCTCATAGAATATGTGTGGATGGGCAGCGCACAAACATAAGTGAGGAATACACACAGGTGACTAGTCTGTTAAGATGGGTGACTGGTCTGTTTAGACAGGTGACTGGTCTGTTTATACAAGTGTGCCGTGGTCTGTTTAGATGTGTGACTGGTCTGTTAAGATGGGTGACTGGTCTGTTTAGACAGGTGACTGGTCTGTTTATACAAGTGCGCCCTGGTCTGTTTAGATGAGTGACTAATCTGTTTAGATGAGTTACTGGTCTGTTTAGACAGGTGACTGGTCTGTTTAGATGAGTGACTGGTCTGTTTAGATGGGTGGCTGGTCGGTTTGGATGAGTGACTGGTCTGCTTAGATGAGTGACTGGTATGTTAAGATGGGTGACTTGTCTGTTTAGAGGAGTGACGGGTCTGTTAAGATGGGGGACTTGTCTGTTTAGATGAGTGTCTGGTCTGTTTAGATGGGTGAGTGGTCTGTTTAGACAGGGGACTGGTCTGTTTAGACGGGTGACTGGTCTGTTTAGATGAGTGACTGGTCTGTTAAGATGGGAGACTGGTCTGTTTAGACAGGTGACTGGTCTGTTTATACAAGTGCACCCTGGTCTGTTTAGATGAGTGACTGGTCTGTTAAGATGGGTGACTTGTCTGTTTAGATGAGTGACTGGTCTGTTTAGATGAGTGACTGGTCTGTTAAGATGGGTGACTGGTCTGTTTAGACAGGTGACTGGTCTGTTTATACAAGAGCGCCCTGGTCTGTTTAGATGAGTGACTGGTCTGTTAAGATGGGTGACTGGTCTGTTTATACAAGTGCACCCTGGTCTGTTTAGATAAGTTACTGGTCTGTTTAGACAGGTTCCTTGTTGTATATACAGGCAATTACTATGTCAGGCGTGACATACCCAGTCTGAATTGCTGTATCGTCTCCTCCGCTAACTTAGAAATCTCAGGCCAGACGATGGAATTCAACATCTTCAGTTTTTCCTACAGAGTAAAAACATTTCAGTGACTAAGATGAATCATTATTACCAGAATAGATACATACTGAGATTATAACTTATCTAGTCGCAGTAATACATATCCCCTTCTTTCTCTAATAGGCTGTCTTACCCACTATAATAGACATCCACTCCAATACCTTATAGGCTGTCTTACCCACTATAATAGACATCCACTCCAATGCCTTATAGGCTGTCTTACCCACTATAATAGACATCCACTCCAATTCCTTATAGGCTGTCTTACCCACTATAATAGATATCCACTCCAATACCTTATAGACTGTCCTACCCAGTATAATAGACATCCACTCCAATACCTTATAGGCTGTCTTACCCCCTATAATAGACATCCACTCCAATACCTTATAGGCTGTCCTACCCACTGTAATAGACATCCACTCCAATACCTTATAGGTTGTCTTACCCACTATAATAGACTTCCACTACAATACCTTATAGGCTGTCTTACCCACTATAATAGACATCCACTCCAATACCTTATCGGCTGTCCCACCCTCTATAATAGACATCCACTCCAATACCTTATAGACTGTCCTACCCACTATAATAGACATCCACTCCAATACCTTATCTGCTGTCCCACCCTCTATAATAGACATCCACTCCAATACCTTATAGGCTGTCCTACCCACTATAATAGACATCCTCTCCAATACCTTATAGGCTGTCTTATCCACTATAATAGACATCCACTCCAATACCTTATAGGCTGTCTTACCCACTATAATAGACATCCACTCCAATACCTTATAGGCTGTCTTACCCTCTATAATATACATCCACTCCAATACCCTATAGGTTGTCTTACCCACTATAATAGACATCCACTCCAATACCTTATAGGCTGTCTTACCCTCTATAATATACATCCACTCCAATACCCTATAGGTTGTCTTACCCACTATAATAGACATCCACTCCAATCCCTTATAGGCTGTCTTACCCACTATAATAGACATCCACTCCAATATATACCCTATAGGTTGTGTGGCCTACAAAACAATGAACTGTTCCACACTTAACATTACATCCATGGTTTCACATCTATAGGCTAACAAACATTGAGCCCTTTACGAAGTTATAATTAAAAATTGTTCCACATTAATATATTTTACATCAACAAAAATGTAAAAAAGTTTGAAATCAACAAAAGTTCCATGAAAACAAAGGATCATCTGCTAAAGGAAATTCCAGTAATTACCGGGTCGCTGAACACAATGGGCCCTAGAGCTCTTCTGTTGATTTCCTCGTCCTCACCAACTATGGATGACCCGAACACCTCGACCAGTCTATTGTAGGCTGGCAGGCCCTTCATGTACACCTGGTGGCCTAGTGAAACAACCACAGAGATACATGTTGTACTTGACACAATTTGATGATCAAATCTTGACGAACTTTACATACCTAGATTCTCATATATTGTGAGGGGTTTCTTTCCATCATTACAGCATCGCATTGACATGCTACACATTTGGAACTAGCTGACTAGAATAATGTATACTACATTACTTATACATGTACTGACAGAGACAAAAACAGGAAAATGGAGAAGGGAGGAAACCACAGTATATTGGGCAAATAACACTTTAAATATGTAACAAGTATTATTTTCATTCTACACACATAGACTTTAAAGTTATATGCTACCTGAGATATCCTTCCTATAATCTTTGTTAGTGTTAAGGGAATATGCTACCTTATACACATTACACCTGTGATCCGTGTTATTTGAGTTATCTCCCTTACATTGTAATTGTGTCATCAACTGATCAATAAAGCCTTAATCACCATGTGCAGGTTGGAAATCTTTTGTAAAAGAAAACATACTAGACTAAGCAAGGGCCCACTTGTATAAAACATCTCACAGTAAAGGAAAATCTCAAGCAATGTATTGTCTATGGGAAATTTTAGACTTAGACTTAGTGGGCCAAGGTAGCATGTACCCTTAAGTCTAAATCATAACTTACCTAGTTTATCACAGTCTATGCTGGCAGCCCCCAACCCTTCCAGTCGTTTACAAATGGCTGACTTTCCACTGGCTATTCCTCCTGTCAGCCCTATCACATATGGAACTGACATCAAGTTCTTCTTCTTCTACAAGTTGTGCCAGAGTCATACAACTTTTAGATCACACAAAGTCACATACAAATATGTACCTTAACCATTTTATAACGTTATATTAAAGAACAAGTGTGGATTTTAACAAGTCTCTAGCTGGACAGAGTAAAGTTTTTAAAAAGTAGAACAGGTTTCACACTGCTAAAATACAATCAGCACTGAATCAGGGTTATAGCAGAAACAGACATCCTAAACTTTAAACCATTGTGACAAATATCAGGAGACCCTCTCAATCCAAGCTTTCAGTCTTAGCCCCAAATCAGGCATAGAAACCGAAAGCTTGGATTAATAGTGACTGTTGGTATTTATTTTACAATTACCCGGTACATTGCCTGTATAAACATTGTAATAGACATTTAAACCAATGAAAATTTACTGAATCTCGGTCATATGTCATAAGGTATCAGGCACTCAGAATTGACGATGGCCAACTTGGATTTCTTCTGTTAAAATAAATCAGATTTATTTGGATCCACGAGAGAAAGTTATCTGTGAGGTTTTAACCAAATATGAGCGACACAGAATTTGATGTAATTTGTTTGTATGACATACCTGTGGAGTGTTTGTTAGTATTTGTTTGTATTTGTTTGTATGGCATACCTGTGGAGTGTTTATGAGTATTTGTTTGTATGACATACCTGTGGAGTGTTTACTAGTATTTGTTTGTATGACATACCTGTGGACTGTTTATGAGTATTTGTTTGTATGACATACCTGTGGAGTGTTTATGAGTATTTGTTTGTATGACATACCTTTGGACTGTTTATGAGTATTTGTTTGTATGACATACCTGTGGACTGTTTATGAGTATTTGTTTGTATGACATACCTGTGGAGTGTTTATCATGGTCCCCAGCAAGCGTTTGCGAAAAGATGATGAGCTGATTTTGTTTTCTTCATATTCATCATGTTGTTGATCTTCAACAAGATCTATTACAAACTCCTCCATTTGGGGGAAACCCTGACAACATAAGTAAGACTATATATAGCAACAATAGGGAAAATCCCTGGTGCAAGTCAGCAGGCTATATATAGCTACAGGATGGAAAATCTTGGTTACACAAGTAATAGTAATGCAAAGCTTTAGGAGGGGAAAACCTTGTAACATAGGCCTGTATATAGAGAAGACTGAGTTTATGCAACACAGAATTCCCTTGGCACTAGTATAGGGTGCTCTTAACTAGATAAGATAAAATCATTCCTTCACATGGACTGGTAGAGAGATGATTCATGCCAAAATTGGTCAAAATCCCTTCAGCCAATCTAGATAAGTAGTCTTTTAAAGAAAAAAATGATGGACGAACAAATGATGGACACCTTGCTAAGGAATGAGCTCACTTGATCCTGTGGACCATCAACAAGTGAGTTAAAAACTTGATCCTGTGGACCATCACCAGGTGAGTTAAAAACTTGATCCTGTGGACCATCACCAGGTGAGTTAACAGTTACAAGTGAAGTTTAACAGTCAGGATTTATAAACATTTTTAGTTATGGAAGATGAAAAAACAAATTCTGCTTGGGCAAGTTTTACTGTTAGTGCATCTGAGATTATTCTCTTACCTTTTTTTGGCGTTCCTCGTTGACCATCTGTCCCCCTTTTCTGGTCTCCTGACTGAGAATGATACACTGTAGATCGGCGTCTGTGATGGTTGGGCCGAACGCATCGTAGATAGGAACAACGTTTGGACAGATATTTGGGCGAACTTCCTGTATGAAAGTTTTAACAGACTCCAGTCTAGACTGTAATGGTTGAATCAGCTCAGGAAGTGTCTTCTCTAGAATGATTAAATTTACAGATTAATGCAATTAATTCAACCATGGATCAGAGTGTATTATCACTGACCAGGTGATCCTATAGTAGTGGCTATCTAGCCAACATTACTCCCAGTAGAGGTGGCTGGAATACTAGACAGAAAGATTAATAGAGGATACTTTATTGCTAATGTCTCCATAAAACACTGCTGTATAGTGAAGCAACGCGATTAAAAAGGTGGCTAGATTCATGAGGTATTAATGAATCTAAAGTTACGTGTCTGTATCTGTCAATTCTTTTTATCAGTTTTCATTTTTAATTCAAATCTTACAACCAGGTAGAATTGGATGTTTTGAACATCTTTAAAAACAAAATTGTTTTCAGAATTAAGGTGGTACATTGTAATATGTAAATAGTGATTCCCTCTGATATGGTCATACAAACGATATGTTTATACTTAATTCGCTTCCTATCTGACAAACTTTATATTTACACTACCTGCCTTACCAACAATAGATTATACTGCCTGCCTGGGATTGACCTTATGTTTTTTTTTCCATATTCAGGTTCACACTGATCCAAATAATTAACTAGATAGTACCAATATTGTTAGGTGAAATTTGTCAGCAGTTATTCCAATACAACTTACTATTGTTCATGTCTCCGTCAGTGACTCCGACAGTGAGTCGTTTATCCGCGAGTAAACATCCCTCGCCCAGCAGGATCTTGTGACCAGTGTGTATGTGATCAAATGTACCTCCCAGCACCGTGTTGTTAAAACTGGAAATCAGGGAGGACGGCCCTCCACTAGGTCCATTTGATTGTGACAATAATCCAGCACTTTCGTTGTGACATTGATCAACATTGACAACTTCAATGGCAGGTTTAAAGCGACAATCCGGTTGAAATTTTTTGGAAATGTTTTCCAACAAGCTGGTTCTGGTCGTGTTGTCTTTGCCAAGCCAGTGGTCATCATCAAACAAGATAACATCACAGTTAGGCTTTATCCTGTAATTTACGTCCCACGGGAAACAAGACTTGTTTGAGATATGACCTAACAAAATGTTAACGTTGAGGTGATTGCAGACGGAAGCACTACAGATATACAGCTGTGTGATGAAAGTACGAAGTTCCTGGGTGTAGGGAGTCTGGGAAATCGTAAATACTTTATTGTCACGAGTAGTGTTTGGCTGTATGTGGACGTAGAGAGTTGCCCCGACAATCTTTGCCACCTCTGTCAACAGAGGTGAGATGCTGTCCCCAAGCACTGGAAGGGGGCGAGTCAATATTAGGAGGCCTGTGCGGAACATCTTACCTAGATCCTGTACACCCTGGTAACACGCACGAAGAGCATAACAACTAGCTCTCCTGGAATGAGAAACAAAGCTGGATTAGTCTTCAACAGTTTGTTAATGTGAAACAGGAGAAAGTGAAATACAACGGCAAGACTGGAGTTTGAACCCAGGACTCTCCGAAAGACGCTCTCCTGATTGAGCTACCTGCATAGTTGTACGGGACTCGTTTCAATGCATCTTGTTGCTTATAGCTTTTGTCTCGAAAATATTCCAAGTTTCACTCTACCGAAAGAATTAGAGCATTCTTGCCAACTCTCCCTATTTAGGAGGGAGACTTCCGATTTGGTTCCTTAAATTTAGTGATTTCTACCAGTGAATTTGCTAAATTATTTGAACAATTCAAGATATTTCATTATAAAGGTGTTTTTTGCCTGTAGGGGGTATATATGTAAAAGATGTGCATTGATTAGGTTGCCTTACAAACGTCAGCTGTAGGGAATTTCCCTTAAGTTCAGCGGTAGAGCATCGGGCTGGAAAGCCAAGGGTCGTGGGTTCGAGCCCCAGCGACAGCACTATCTTTATCACTATTCCTCGTCCTGTTACATATATTTAATTTTGAGCATGCAGAATCTCTCCAATGAAAATTTCAAAAAGTTGGCAAGTATATATATAATAATTGCTAGAGAAATTCTCCCTAGCCAAGTCGGGGAAAAAGCGGTCAAGTATTTTACCAGAGCGAGATAATCCCCCTCCAGGAAAGGAACGTGAGTCCCAAGTTTTCCAGGGGTCATATAGATTCCATTGCAAGTGTATAACAGGAAAGAGAATAGTGTGCTTCTACCAGGGATCGAACCATCAATCTCCAGGTTCCTAATCCGATGATCTACCACTGAGCTAAAGGGAAATTCCCTCTAGCTCGAAGCTAGGAGGCAACTTTAATTCTTATGTACAACTAAAACCTGCCACACAAGTATGACTAAGTATTTATGTCATATCTCCTGGGTCCCTATGTGGGCGCCAATTTAATAGAGGTCATTATATCTTTCAATGGCTCCGCTATTTAGAGTCGAACCTGGGACTTCTGACTTACAAGTCTTATACCCTCTACCGAATGAGCTAAAAAGAAATTCTCCCTGGCTGAGTCGGTAGGAAGTGGCTAGTATTTTACCAGGGTGACAGAAAGTATATTCTAGAAAGTGTAGTTTTTGCCTTAAATACTCAGCTTACTGCCTGTTGATAATTAGTTCAGGGTGTATTGTTGCAAAGCATTCATTAAAGTATCAGTGCTGTTGTATGAAATGTGGAGCGACAAAGCACAAAATCATAAACCTAATGAGAAATTGATGTTGATTGTCTTTCGACCCATTGCTTGTAACACAGGTTAGGCCTTACTACTGACAATCACTGGACAGCCCAGCTTTACTCATCACTGTCATGCATCTTGCTCCGAATAAATAACTCCATATTTATGTCTTGCCTATGATTACTTTATGACTATATTAATATACAAACATAAAGTATATGTGTTGAACATTTGTGTATTATTGACTAAAACCATTACCAAGTCCCCAGCCCGAGGCGTGCAGCAGGTCAGAATGTAAACACACCGGCCAAAGTGCACATCTCTAAAACGTTATTAGGGCGATTATAATATGTCAAACGATGGCCGATGATGAAGTTATCAGTAAACGGTAAATTTTACAATAATTCGTTTGATCATTATCACGTGCCGTGAATTATGCTATTTACTACCTACGACAACACAAAGTAAATAGATTACCGGACTCTTCTCTGTAAATAAATATCATCCACTGACATATGAACGTAAAATAATCCGGAAATTTAAATCACCACCATATCCGTTTTGTACATTATTCTGTAGAGTCTCGTTATGAGGCGACCTTTGTGGAAGTGTGCCCATTTCCGCTTTTGAAACGACAGTCACCCTGGAATACACAGTGTATTACGTACGTCAAAGGAAAAGTAAGTACAGTCCTCGATCTCACGGTCTAGACACACAGGAGCTGGACATGATTAGAAACTGAAACAGGAAGCCTCTCAAGTGGCTATGTTCGAACAAGGTGACCTTAATAACTGGGGCAAAACGTGTATTCACAGTGGAACACTTTCTGACAATCTTTGGAATTCAAAGAATCCGTTAATAATTGCGACAATCATAAATAAGTAGATTTATTTACCTGATCTATTTGTCAAAATGGCGAACCTTATTATAATTTTGACAAGCGATAGGTAAGAGCATCGTGTGTATTTTCGGGTGAAGATACTGCCACAGAATGAATGGATTACACAGTGTTCATTACCACAACAGTGTAGATGGATTCCCAAAAGATTGTAAATACCAACCCAACACCTCCATCGTAAATGGCGCCTTAACAGACAAGTATGATGTCCAAGGGGAGATTGGCAGGTAAGCAAAGGGCTTAAGATATTCCTCAAAATGTGTTCTGTTGGACTAGATTTTAAGTTTGCCCCTTTTGGTTGCAAATTTTGATATATATATATGTCTTTCAACAGGTCGGGGAAAACCACCAACTTGCGTATAATACGCAAACTCGCCTGTTATACGCCAATTGTGTTTGGATTTGTTACTAAAAATATCCAAAATCAGTTTTTCAAATTGTGTGTCCAAGCAAGTCGCATTTATTCAGTCATGAAACATAATACAAATGCAAAAATAAACTTTATTTGCTTTTAGGAAAGTACCAAAAATAGATGCAATACTTCCGGTAAAGTAAAATCAATTTTCTAAGTAGCCAACACTTTCAGTAAACATCTTTTAGCAAGTTATTATTTACCTTGTCGTAAATTAATGCGATTTTTAATAATATCTTGCAAAAGTTACTGTTAAAGCGATTGGATTATTTTTAGTAACAAATCCATACTCCAACTGGCGTATAATAGGCGAGTTTGCATATTAATTATTATACGCGAATTGGTGGTTTTCCCCAACCTGTCAGATCTAAGTTGAAGTGGGGGTAAGAGACGATCAAATACAGTAGGCTGTTGTTGGGTACTTTTGTAATATATTTCCCTTACTTCTCAAAATTTATTTCTGTTTGATGCACTGCGACAGGTTTCAGCTTTGTACTTCGTTTGCTTTTTGTGTGTATGTTGATTTCATGCTTTTAGATTTTTCAGCTTTCGATCTTTGTCTTACCAAAAAGTACTAAAACAGCCTATTTTCAGGCACTTAAACTACCAGGTACTAAAAGCACCTAACATTGTGTCAGACATTATCACTCTACTATCAGGGTTTAACGTCATCAGGATTGCTAGGGTCTGTCGGATATGAGGACAAGTGCCAAGGGAGACATATCATAAAAAGGAAAGAGTGTAAAGAGTGCACATTGTAAAATTTTAGTGTCAAAGTCGCCTTACAAGCTAATTAGCAAGATGGAATTTTCTTTAGATCAGCATTAGACTAGAAAGTCTGGGATCATGGGTCTCAACCCCAGCAAATGCACCCATTCTTTAAGGGGTACATCCCACAATGTGTCCATCATACTGAGGTACATACAAGGGACGTTCCCCATCAGGTTATAGACAAATACTTCACATGTAAAAAGTAAACGGTAGCAAACAAATTTCGTTGCAGTTAAACATTGGTGAATTTGGACGCATGTGGCTGTCGTTTATGCAGTGTGGAAACACACACCTTTTTTTTGCATATATTTTTATGCGACTCAGTTTTCAGTATATATACTGGAAGTATCATGTGACACACGTAACTAAAACCTGGTCAAATCCGGAGAGAAAAGGTATCTAGAAAACAATGTATTACAAACTGCTGTTTAACCTCCCTGTTCAAGGTAGTGGGAAACCCTTGGCAGGAAGCAAAAATAAACCTGGGTTGTGGTTGTCTTTTAAGGCAAAGGAGTGGAAATGATGTTCATTGTACATAGCGGGTGCACATTACTAGCTGTGGCTGTAAGGAATTTCCTTTCAGCTCAGTGGAAGAGCATCTGACTGGAAAGTCTGAGATTGCAGGTTCAAGTAACTCAAATTGTCCGTGTGTGAATCCTTATTTACTGTGTAAATTACAACAAGCTGTGAGACGTTGATCAATAACATACAGTTGTGTGAAGGAGTTCACTTTACAGCTACATTTCAGAATCGGTTCACCTAAGATCACATTTACATCCGAGGATGTGTAGATATATATACTTACTGAGTGTAAAGTTATTAATTTGGAGGCAGGAAACAGGCTGCTTCACCTCTTCTTATGACTTACTACAAAATTATGAAACGTCATTGAATGTACAGACATGTATATTACTATAAATAGTTGGTCTGTGAAAATGGTGATCACAGGTAACATTACTGTGAAGTGTAATACGACATTGTAATAATATGCTGTCTTTATTCATAACTAAAAGTTACTTGCTACAATGGTATGCTGCCTGCCCCAAATCGTTGTTAAAAAAAGTTGATCAAGAAAGACTATGATCATGTAAATTTCGCCTGATTTCAGATCCTAAATATAAAGACAATTATCGCTATATGGATAAAGCAACCGCTTCAATTCTTTATCACAAACACAACCACAGGCTTTTAGGAGAAGACTTATATATAGGCTATTCCCGCTAAGCCTGTTTAATCCATTTGTTCAATTGTTTTTGTCCAATAAAATTTGTTGAAAAGAAATAAACCATAGGCTTGTAAAAATCCATACCACACTATATATAGTTATATATATATATGAATTTTGTGCCTGTAACCATTTACAAAATGTACTGATGTTATCTGTAGTGTTAAAATAAACACATTGACTTATATATATAAAACATCAGTCTTTGGATGCACAGACATGCAGTACAATGCTTTCTGCTGTAAATCTGACTCATCTCGTAAGCAAATCAAACAAGGGATCCATATAAATATATATTTGAAAACATAACACTCTTTCTGAACATCAACAAAGGTATTTGCTGATAATTTAAATTATGCAAGTGCAGAAGCAATTTATTTTTTTTACACGAAAAAGAACATTTAAATGGAATTCTAAATTAGTTCATGTAGCATAGTAGTTCTGATGGGGAAACTATAATAGTTAGCTCTAGTTATCCAAGTGGCAGCTTACAGGTACTAGATTAGTCTCACCATGTAAACACATTGGGATAAAGGAAATACTTCCAGGTTTGGATTTGTAATTTAATTATCTGGTCGGACACAAGGATCACAATGTTGAATGGTATTGACTTACTGGCGTAGATGTTAACCCTATTGATTGACAGTATCAAATGTCGCCCAAGTCCCATTGTATTGGACGTAGTGATTGACCAACGCCTTGGACAACTGCCACCTATCAGAAATTACCCTCGTAAGACAAAATGATCAGCTAGCTAACAGAATGTGGGGTTCTTATAACGTAGATCTGTAATGTACCATATATATAATATATAAGATTACTCCTGCTGTTATTTTGATTACGAAAAACATTTCCACACACTAGTCTGGTTATTACATCAGTTCAAATTAGCGCTGTTACCACCGAACAGTTTCTCACTCGATTGTAACTTTCTCAGTCTAGTTCATGTACAGACATATAGTTAAATAAAGAGTGTTGGGAGTTAAGATTTACGGTTACACCAGAAAATGCCTGCATCAGAAGCCGTTCCAGTACAGCACTAACTTCTAATATAATGAGTGTATCAGCTGTTCACATCAGGGTTGAAACTGTTGAGAAAGAGTAGTTTGTTTTGCCAGGTTACTGATCACTAACACTAATAGTCTTAGGGTTTTCAGGACATGTCTTCTGGAATTGTTTAACCCTCCAAAGCAGGAAAATATTAAATTTCAATGGCCAACAAAGTTGCCACACCCAATAGAATACAATCTTCCTTTTTCCGAGTTTGCTAATTAATATCAATTTCTTTACAAGCAAAAAAGGTTTCCTTCATTTTTTACCAATCATTTATTACATGTATGTATAAGGTTAGTAAATTTTAAGGTGATAAAACAATTCAAAATTGATTGCATGTCTCAAATTGTCAACAAATTTTCCTGGTTTAGGGTCAAAGGACTTATATTGAAAAAGGTAACTAGTGTTTGCTTGTGTTTTTCATTATAAAGTATTGTATGCATTGTACTTCATTTACCAGGCATTATAATTAAATGGCTAAATGTCAAAATGTTACAAATAACTGAAAAATCCTTGACCTTCAAGATCTGTTTAACACAGACATCCACCGTTATTACAAGGCCTTCAAACTATACAAGTTTTAGATGTGTTTGTTTTATGAGTATTGTATCGCAAAATCTAGGGTACTTTGACTAGTTTCTTAGTTAAATTTTCCTATTTGTAACCAATATGTGCTGTATTGATAATATGGCTCAAAAACGTTTGAGTAGCTATATATATAGGCAGACAAACATTTGGGTTGGTCTAGATCTAGAGACCTGAGACATATACATAGTTTGTTTAAGTGTCGATCTTTAGATGATGTTATCATTGTATACATTCCTGTCCTACAAGGACAATATCATGGCAGGGAAATTCCCCACATACTTTTTAACATGCCTTTAAGTACATTCCTTTGACAACTTTCTGATCCATTAATTGAAATAATTCTACAACTATGTCTTAGCTATTGAAATGGAAGACAACAGCATTTACAAACAGTCACGTTATGTTTTCATAGTTCACGCTTCAGTGCAGACCCCTGAAGAATTTCTCCTATTTAAACGTGTATACCCAGACTTACTACTGCACAACATTACTGAGTATGGTCAACGTCAGAAGATAATTATAGAATTATTATAATCTGAAGCAATTGAGTGTAAAGAAAATTGTAGGCTTTCATGAAAATTAAATATATGAATATCTGTATCTAAATATAACATTATGAAAAAAGCATAAAAACATGCAATAGATTTCTTAAATATTCTACGTTCTGAACCAAACATTTCATATTTAATGATAATGAAACATTTTTCATCATTATCATTTCGTAATTTGATCAGACAAAATTAAGATATATATTGTAAATACTGTTCATTATAGTTTTAGAAATGAGTTAATGCTCAGACAGCAGCATCTCAGTTTAAAAATTCACCCATTTGTAACTAAAATACTACCACATGGATCTGTCTTGGTTCCATTTATCTTTTAATTTTCCATCAGTTCCACAACTGAGTGCTTTATTTCATTTTCCCTGTGTTGATATTAGTTGTTGCTACTGATATTTTAAAATCTATAATGAACAGCAAGGAACAAAATTAAAGATGTAATCCATGCCTCGTACTCTCCCCCTGGCTCTGGCCTGCACCTACAGTGCATATTATTTTCCCCTATTTCAAAAAAGGGTACTAACTTTCTATTCCTGCATTAATCCCTGCCATTTTCTGGAACAAATTTGTGAAAATTGTTTGTTGGCAATTTCCAAACCAGTTAAGGGATGAAACTAT